GCTATTTTTGACAATGAGAATGAGGACATTTACGTCTTTTACACAAACAAGAGAACAAGAGCGCGTCTGTGTCCCACCTTGTTGTGTGGGACAAAAAAAATTAATTTTTGTCTCGTTCACATCAGACACAGTCCAATGCACGCAAAACACAGTGCAACTTGTTCTGTCACATCAGTCCCAATTTCAGTCCAATGCACACCAAACACGGTGAGGCCAAAAAAATAGAGTCAGACAAAGACAGACCTTCAACTTTCATGATTTCACGAGCAAGAGGCATTGTATCCGCGAACTCCCAATGTGGTGGGATTTCAAAAGAACAACGGTTGAATTCACTGATTAAAAAAGGGACATCAAATGCCTTCCCATTATGAGCAATAAATAATGTTTGACCACCGGGTTTCTGACGGCTTTCCACATAATCTATCAAAATGGGTATCAAATCTTTCATCCTGGAAACACAAAGTTTATATCTACAAGATTCTTTAACATAAAATTAAATTAATTATATAAAAATTCAAGAATGTTACCTTGGGATACCGGGTCTATTGACCATATAGGTTGAAATCCCATGGATATGTGGATTTGTAACAATTTTATCAGGATTTACGAGTGTCTCAAATGTACTATTTAATCCACCACTAAGATCCTGCATTGCAATCTCAATGATGCGTTCATTCTCTCTGCTAAAACCAGTTGTCTCAATATCAAAGACAAAAATGGTAACCAGCTTTGATAGATCTTTGTTCTCTGAGATCTTTTGTTCAAGATGAATGCTTTTAGATTCATTGATTTTTATTTTAGTTGTATTCAAATCGGTGTGTGTAAAACTTGTTACATCGGTTATTTGTTGGCCAATATTGGTTGTTTTTCTGCTTAAGATGTTCTTCGCAATTCCTTCTGTGTTTGTTGATAATGATTTTTGGGTCCATCTTCTACTATTAGTATTCCCCCCTTGAAGGCCATAAATACTGGATCTTTTTTTGCTGAAATTATGGATCTTTTCCCACCAAGAAGCAGAAAAGGTATGAATTTGGCATTTAGGAAGTTGAAAGTGTGAAAAGCACACTGCTGCTCTCATCTGAATCTAGGAACTAAAACACAGATTATCGGAAAAATCACTTGGTTTTATCTGCAAAAAAATAAAGCAACACCGAAAGGATATTTAGACCATGATTAAATCGTTCACAAAGTTCTAAATCTTCATGTAAATGAAGATTATAAGTTAACATCGATGTAAAAAGCCTACTGATTACTATTTGGAGGGTAGAACAGTTATTACAGAGAATTCCAGTTTTGATGTTCATTGATGCTTTTGTAACGCAGTATAAATTTTAGAGAGCCAAAAACTGAAAATAAAATTAATTTCGATGAAAATAATAACAATCTTAAGTGGACAATCCCCAATATACACTAATCTTAAGGAAATGATAAAAAAAAAAAAAAAAAGTACGATAATCTCAAGATGCACAAAACCAAGGGCAATTGAACCGGCGATTAGCCGATGATTCCAAATTCCAAAACGCATTCATGTCATCAAAGTGAGAGCGAATTGACAAAAAATAATCGGATTTGTAAACAAAAAATGGGGGAAGAGCATGATACCTGGCAAAGGAGATTACAAATGCAAAACCGCATTGATTTCAAATTTTCAAAAGCAATTAGGTTGTGGATGTATAAATAGAACGTGGATATGGAGATGAAATTGGGTGGTTTGGGGGTGGATTACGACGTGAGAGAAGAATTCGGGGAGGAGGAATGGAGTAGAAGAAACCGTGAAGACATAGAGAAGAATGGAGTGTGAAACTGTTAAAGCTCAAAAAAAAAAAAATATCAAAAGAAAAAGAAAAGGCCCAAGAATTTCGGATCTTTGGCCCAGATCCACTTATTTCGGGCAATGATGTATCCGATATCTAAATATAATAAAACTAACACCTTCCTAATAAAATAAAATTATATATATATATATATATATATATATATATATATATATATATAGAGAGAGAGAGAGAGAGGGGGGGGGGGGGGATATCATTTGAGAACTATAGTTTCATGAGAACCCGAGAATCAAACGTGGGTCGTTAGATCAAAATAATAGATGGTTAAGATGTTTTGTGGTATTTTTGTAAATAGTTAGGAAAAATAAGACACGAGGGGTAAAGAAATTGAAATGAATCAAGGGCATTTTATGAATTATTTTAATTCTCTTATTAAACCTCTCATTTACGTCTCACACACACACACTCTCTCTCTCTCTCTCTCTCTCTCTCTCTCTCTCTCTCTCCCCCCTTCTTTAACGTCATCTTCTTCACCGTATCTCTTCCCTCTTTGTCCTTATCTTGATCGACCACCTCTACCTCTGCAGACTACTACCAATCCACCGTTATTCATCTCCAAATCATCGATGAATAATCCACAATCCAAGAGATCGATGTCGGTCGTGTTCATCTTTGATTGCAGAAGTGTTCATCGAAAACCTAAATCATTTGGTGGTGGATCAACTAGGTACTCGTGACAAGCTGACAAATCTTTTCTCTAATTCCCCATCTTCACATTCATCGCCTTCCACTGGTTCTCCTCAACCTCATACGATACCTTGTTTCTTATTTATATCATATCCTTACGCTCCATAAATATGTGTATTGTTTACTTTCCGATTTTGGTACTAGAAAGTTGTAATCCGTATCGACTTTTTGTATTTAACTAATTTTATGGCGTAGAAGATGGATGATCTTCCTATTCGTTTTTAAAGTTCTATGTTATAATAAACAAAGTAGAAAACATCTTTAAATGTTTTCATTTGTATATGTTTATGCTTATGTCACTGTGAAATACATAAATAATTTGGTGCAGCTGTGAAATACAGTCTTTTAAATTCCAAAATTGATCAATTGATAAAGCTTTAAATTGTTTCAAGTGTTCTATAATTGTGAATCTCTCATACTGTTGTTTCAAATATGCTTGCCCTAATTGAGCTTAGACCCAAAAAAAATTCCATGATTTATCATTTCTGTTGCAGGAATAGGAAGTAAAATGAAGTACGGATTAAACATAAGAGTCCAATCCTCCCAACAAAAGAAGCAACCTACCAGACCTCATTAGCCTCCAACACTTGGTTTTGGTGAAGATGATGAAGATGACATAGAGAGGGAAATTTCTAGACAAGCCAACAAAAACAAGGCTCTCAAAGATGTAAGTCATCCACAAAAACAAGATTACCATTTTGTCCTTTTTTCCTTTTCCTTTTATCTTATCATGTTTCTTTTGTAGGTAGAGGAGCAACATAAGAAAGACTTAGAGGAAGATCCATTAGTGTTTGATTATGATGGTGTATACGATGAAATGAAAGAGAAAATAGTACGTCCCATTGCACAAGATCGACAGGAGAGAAAGGTATTATTATATAAGTATTTAAATCTTTAAATGAAAACATTTAAAAATTTTGATTTTATGTTTGTTGTCCTTGATCTTTCGGAATTCCAATTCCAATTCCATATCTTACATTTGTATCTAAATATGAATTTCATGTCACTGTAGACTTAACGTCTTTGTTAGTTTGCTTTTTGCTCTCTACTTTTGCTTTATGTTTCAAATAGTATCATCTTTTGAATTTGGTCTTTAGGTAGATTATGTATAACCTTATTTTAGCCTTCTCGATTTATAAGTTCAAAGTTTTGAAATTATACTTCCAATTCAATAAATTAGTTTTTGATTTTGTATAAATATGTTCCTTCATAGATGTTTCTCTTTTGATTGATAAGAATATCTTGGTTATTATTTATGCAACAGTACGGCCATTCTCCAAGAGTATATTTCAGAGAATTAAGAGAATGATTGTTGAGCTGTTTTCCTTTCATTTCAATTGCATGATATATACTAATTAAAGTCAATTGTTGTAAATATTGACAACTTCAAGCATACATCCTTGTGCTTGATGACATCATGGACGAGTCTCATACCCACAAAGGTCAACGCTGTTGGTTTAGATTACCCAAGTTGCAACTTTACAAACAACAATGATATAATATTTTATTTTTCTAATATAATACTTGCTTGTCATTTCATTATATGATATCTAAAATAATGAAAGTTGGTTCTAGGTTAGTATGATTGTTGAAAATGATGGAATAATTCTTTGCAACTATATTCCAAGAATTCTCAAGAAACATTTCCATGGAAAGTTGTATTACATTGACCTAGTTGACCTGTTCAACGAGGTTGGTAATTGATTTTCTTTATCTTCTTTACATACATTACCTTTTCAGTAGTTACTTACAACTAACTAATATATTGTACTTTTAAGCACACATAGAATTTCAAACAACCTCTACACAGATGATTAATTTGATCACTACACTTGTAAGAAAGAAAGACTTGTCAAAGTTTCATTACATATGTAAGAAACCAAACCAACTTTAACTTTTGTCTTCAATCTATCTATCCAATTCTTACATTTTACTAATCTATTCCTTTATCCTGCTGATGCCGTCATTGTAGGATTGTTTAGTACAAGAATGTTTACTACTCATTTTACCTTCTGGTGAGTAAATTTTCGTTTCCTTGTACAAAACTCATTTTGCAGATAATGAAATTTATGACTTTTCCAAAATCTAGATCAAGGTAATGAATATAGTTTCTAGGAGCCTTTCATTAGCTTTATTCTATATTTGAGAATAGAAAAAAAATTTAGTCTTTTACTCGCTATACTCATCACTAAAATGTTGTTTTGACTCCCTACAAATCAGATGCATGCCCTAACTGTTGTTTAATTTACTTATATCTATACTTTTTAAGTTAGGTTGAATTTATTCTTAAATTTTGGTGTTTGTCTAATTCATGGTGTGATGGTTATAAGTATACCACATGTAAATCACGAGTGAATCATATATGAATCACATGTGATGCACATATAAATCACATGTAATTCACTTATGAATCACATGCAATTCACAAGTGATCACATGAATTACATGTGATTCACATGTAATTCACATATGAATCACATGTAAATCACATATGAATTACATATGATTCACATGTAAATCACTAGTGAATCACACATAAATTATATGTGATTCATATATGAATCATATGTGATTCACATATAAATCACATGTAATTCATGTATGAATCACACGCGATTCACATGTAAATCACAAGTGAATAACATATGAATTATATTTGATTCACATGTAAATCACAAGTGAAAAACACATAAATTATATGTGATTCATATATGAATCACATGTATAAATCGCATGTAATTCACATACGAATCACATGCAATTCACAAGTGAATCACATGAATTACATGCGATTCACATGTAAATCACATGTAATTCACATATGAATCACATGTAACTCACATGTAAATCACAAGCAAATCACATATACATTACGTTTATATGCACATATACATTTTGTGTGAGTGTTTTTCGTTATTTTTTAAACTTTTCTTATGAATTTCACATATGAATCTTAAAAGATACAATCACATGTGAATATCACATTATATAGTCACATGTGAATCTTACATGATATAATCCAATGTGAATCTTACATGATATATACATATTCATTTTTGTAAGTGGTCTTGCATTAATCATTTTTTTTAAAATTTTCTTGTAGATTTGGAAGAATTTGAGGAAAATATTGATGAGGTGAAAAATGATAAATTAAAGAAAATATGAAAATCTTGATACGAATACATGAAAACGCTTTGAAATTTTGTAGTATTTTTTGAGTTTATATTTTATGTTGTATCGAATAAAATACTTATTTTACTGTTGTGGTTATAGATTACTAAATAAAAATGTGTTTTCTTTATGATTTACTTACCAATATTATAATATAAGAAAAATGCATATTAGCACTTGAGAAAATATACATATATGCACCTAAAACGTTAACTTTTCTTGTTAAAAAGATTAAAGTTTTTTTTTTTTTTAAATATTGCAGTTTTTTTAAATTACTGATTTTTAAAAATTTGATGTTCTTAAAAAACTGCAATTAAAAAAATCATTTTTTTTTTGAAAAACCATGTTTTGGAAAAAAAAATATGCATTTAAAAAAATAATAAAAAATTATTATTTAATTTTTTTTTGATTATTTATGTAAATTTTTAGATATTATTATTAATATTTCCAATAACATAAAAAACTAAACATTAAATGAGATTGATAAGATGACGATCATACCTTTAATGAGTTAACCACCTTTAGTTCTCGGGAAAATATGAGTTCTCAACGGATCTCACATCTATCTTTCTCTCTCTCTCTCTCTCTCTCTCTCTCTCTCTCTCTCTCTTTCTGTATTTTATATATATATATATATATATATATATATATATATATATATATATATATATATATATATATATATATATATATATATATATATATAGGGAAAAGTGAATATATCCTTAAGGGTATATAAGCTTAGGTATCCAAACACACCATAATACGTCGTTTGTTTAATATATTCATTACAATGCTCTTAAACTTCAATCAATAACTTGATTTACTTTCAATATTTTCGAAATTTCACAATTATCTTTCTTTTATATCACATTTTTTTACCGAACACCTACTAGGTTATATATATATATATATATATATATATATATATATATATATATATATATATATATATATATATTGTAGTTAAAAATGAAAATTACGTAAGAGGAATATAAATGTGTAATTTATAAAAATCATGGAAGTAAATCAAGTTAGAAGTTAAATTATAAGAACATCAGACAATTACAATGTATTATATGATATCAAACGACGTAGTATGGTGAGTTTGGGTACCTAAGCTTACATACCCTTAATGGCAAATTCACTTTTCCCATATATATATATATATATATATATATATATATATATATATATATATATATATATATATATATGGTTGCGGTAAAGACTTGTGAAGACACCTTAAAAAAATTGAATTTTTTAAAAAAAAAAATACAAATCACAAAATCGAGCATCGTATGATATATATATATATATATATATATATATATATATATATATATATATATGATGAGTTTATGTACCTAAGCTTATATAAATTTAAAGATACATTCATTTTTCCCATATATATATATATATATATATATATGTGTGTGTGTGTGTGTGTGTGTGTGTGTGTTGGTTCCCTTGAGATTAATAAAAAATTAGAGATTGTGAAATAGTTACATAGCACTTTGATTTTATGATCGTTATTTGTAAAATCCGTCGGTAGCATAATTGTAAATACGTAGTTAACTATTCAAATTAACGTCGTTGGTAACCATTTTCGGGTTAGTATTGTAATTTTACAAAAAGCATATAAGTTTTGTAGAGGTTATGATAGTGTAACCACCTATACTCTTCTTTTCTTTCTCAATCAAAATCTCACTTAAAAACTCTCACAAAAACCCTTTTTTTTTTTCTTTCTTTATCGTATTGAGCCTTAGTTTTTGTTTGTTAGTTGTGCAAATTATGTTTGAAAAATCAGTAAATGTCTTCAGAAGAAAATCTAACCGAAGTCACATCTTCATTAATCGAAATGAAAGGTTAGAGTACGATTAACTTTTCATTTTTTTTGATAATGCATGTATGTTTTAATTAGTTAACTGTAGTATTATGTTGATAATGATGATTTTTGTTTTGATTTAGTATTTTTTTTTTTTTTTGTCATTTTTACTTGATTCTGATGATTTTTCCATATACAGTTCATTTGTTTTTTTTATTATTATGTGTGTTTGTGGTGGTTTTTAATCTAAGTAGTTGTTTATATTTTCACATATAATGATTTCAAAACAAAATATGTTCGAAAATTGTTCAAAAAACAAAAAAAAAAAATCTTGAAGGCGGTAGAAGTGGTATTATTTTCAAAGGTATAGTTCAAAAAATCGATGTTCAAAGCGGTTTATGTAATATTTTGTTATCGCATTTTTTTCTATTATTTTTTTATTCATAATTGATTATCATATTTTTGTGATTTTGTATGTCTATGTATCCAACGTGAATATGAAGATGTTTCTGGCGAAGTTAAAGAGAAAATTAAAAAAAATGTTAAAGGTATGTGTTGTAATGATAACTGATTTTGTGATTTTTTCAATGGAGTGATAATTTAAGTTTTAGTTATATGTTTATTTCTAGTTCTAATCATAAGTGATTTAATAGGATTTATTTATGTAAGAAACCAATCTGAATCTGAAGATGATTCTCCGCAATGAAAAGAGAAAATATCAAAAAATAGTAATGATAAATGTATGTTTTTATAAGCATTAGTGATTGTGTGATTTAAAATCATAGTTTATTAGTCATATGCGTTTTTGTTATGTATTAATAACTAATTATGCTATTTTTTTGTAGTAAATGCTTATGTTTATGAAAAGGAAAGTGAAGATGTTTTAGAGGAAAAGTCTAAGGTTAAAATGATAAGGGTATGTTTTTGCAATCATAAGTGATTATGTTTCTTCATTTGTAACTGACTATATGTATTTTGTTTTCTTTTTTACTAACAGTATTTTTTTAATAAAAATTATAGTTAACAAAGGTAATTTTACAAAGAATGTATCAATATAAAGCTCCAGGCAGACACGGACATCTTCCAAAAAAGAAAAGGCCAAGGAAGTGGTGCAAACACGATCAAAGAAATAATAGTAAAAAAAAAGCAGTTATTGAACAACCAAAAGTGTATCTGACTGTTAAGGGAAAGAAATTAGTTTTGAAGAAGGTCAAAACCGTAAGTAAGAAATGGGAACTATCTGATGAAAATGATTCTGATTTTTAGAGTCGTCCTGGATTTTCAAAGAAACCAAAGAGATAAGCTAAAGTTGTGAAGAAAGAAAAAAAGTTTTTGTTATAAAATAATTCCCTTCATTGAAGAAAAGATGCTCACCCGGTTCAATGTTGGGTGTTATTCAAGGTTTAAGAAGAGAGCAGAATGAGTGTTAGAGCTATGGGATTTGGGAGTTTGTTAGGGATAAAGATGATCTGACATACTGTTAAATATTGTTTATTATGTTCTTGATCATTTTATTTTTGAAACTTTGAAGGTGGAGTTTGAGAATTGTCAAGTTAGTGTTGATAGTAAATCTATTCATGAGATATTAGGATTACCATCTGGTGATTCATTACTTTCAAACATGGATTACATTTCCGAGAATGATGAAGAGAGATGTATGCTAGACTGGAAGAGATAATATGGAAATATTGATAAATTGATATTGAAACAGCTAAACAATGAACTTGTTCGAACTAGTGCAATGGATGATAACTTAAGAATCAATTTTTTTGGTTCTATTTATTGATACATTCTATGAGTCTAAAAGCATAGGTAAATGTAATCTGAATCCATTGTATTTAATCAGAAGAGATACTGATTTAAGTAACATTGACACATGTGATTTCATTGACGATTGTTTGGTAAGGACGAAGAAGGTTTACAACCCAGAGAAAGAATCATCTTTCTTTTATGGACCAGTAGCATACCTTATTGTATGTGAACTAGTTTTTAATATTAATTCTTTTTTAGTTGTAATAATATGTTTGTTTTTATTTTTAAGCATATATGATTGTATAATCATATATGATTAATTATATATTACACAACATAATCATATATGATTATATATATATATATATATATATATATATATATATATATATATATATATATATATATATATATATAGTGAGGTTCAATCAGTTACTTAGCTCAAAATTGATTATGACTCTCTTAGAATCAATGGTGCAACCAATTTTGGCAATGAGGGTAGAGATGTCAAAACCCCCCCGTGAGACCCCGATCCCGTATGGGACTAAATTTTTAAAAAAAACGGGAGCGAGGGCAAATTTAAACCCCACTTATTTTCAAGAGCGGGGTCGAGAGTTGGTATTTCCGTCTCGTACTCCCGCGGGGGCCCCGGTTGTACATTTATTTAAAATATATATATTTAATATAAAATACATATACAAAATAGATTTTCTAATTTTAGGTTTAGGTTAGGTTTCACTTTCCCGTTTCCAATTAATGGATATTGAAAAGGTAGTGAATTGATCATATATTTTTGGATATGTAAGTATTTTATATTTGTAATATTGGATTTGTCATATTTTATATTTTTAAGATTGTGGGAATTGTCGTTTTGTAATGTTGGATTTTTTAATTTTCTAGTTTCTAAAAGATTATGTTTTAAACTTTTAAAGTTATTAAAAATAGGCTTTTTAGCCTAAACCAAAGTAGTTGTTTAGCAAAAAAAAATGAATTTTAAGCCTATAAACCGGGGGAACGGGGGCGGGACCAGGGGCGATGGTGCTAACCGAGGGCTATGTAAACGGGGGAGTCGGGGGCGGGACCAGGAGCGGGGGCAACAACTGATTTCGGGGGCGGGAGTGGGGGCAGCTATTTCCGCTCCCGTTTGGTCCCGTTGACATCCCTACATGAGGGGTTCCTTTTATAGTGTTACAAATGCTAGGGTTACATCCATGCAAACCCTAATGCACCATGACCTTTCATATTACTTAGGCTCCATGGGTTAAACCTCCATGGACTATCTCATTGGTTTAGCCCATCCTAAATAACCATGGATCATTAGCCCACACTATAAGGATCATTTATTTACACAATCAATCCCCATATATTTAATTAATCTCTTTTGATCACAAAATTAATTCCAAATTAATTCTTGATCAATACTAACTACATAATATGATTTCTCAATTAATATATTATACTTATAATATATTAATAAATCACAAATAACCTTATTCTCAAAAGTCCATCCTATCAAATTGCACTGATGAAGGCAACCCAAAAAGACCATGCTACTATCAGGTCAAGTACATCCCAATTATAGTTATGAGCTTAGACACTAAATCCAACAGTCTCCTACTTGGATAAGTCTAATAACTATAACTGCCAGTGCAACTCCAAAACCCGATTACCAATCGTAGCTCTCAAAAGCCGCTATCGAACTCTGAACCGGCCAGTTACCCATCCTTTAGATAAGGGATCATATATTCCTCTGTTCTCGAGATATCTACGCAGACAAATACATGGAACATAGTCATACTTATTGTCCTGCAAGTTTTTTCCTGATTTTCGATTCGTCTGATATAGAACATAACTGAACACATCAATTTTGTTCTGACCGGGCCCGACACATAGTCAAAACAAAATCATTCATAGGCCCAAGATATCGCTTTTAATCCTCTTAGGATAAAAGGAACAGATAAACTTCGACATTATATTCTTGTACTAACTACTCATTAAGTCATGCATAACGATACGCTTTGTAACATCAAGTTACCGATGTGTTTTCGTGTCATCAATGCACAACCAACGCATAGTCAACAACTCATATATCTTAGTTTGAAGATTGTATGATATTATTGTCTCACAATCACTCGTGATAAATTCCATGAAGTGATCCAGGTGAGTGTGGGTTAATCTAATACTCAAATCTTATTTCAGGAGTACTCACGAATGGTGTAGCAAACTTTTGCTATGTCTAACGCCTTAGACAATCTACAAGCCAACTCATGACAGTCTAGCCTCATTACCTACTTCCAAAGTATGATCGACTATGGATGGTTTGAATAATCTTATTATCCAGGAAGTCAAAACATGTAAACTGAAACACATGAATAATACTAATCCTATATGGCCCCAAAACTTTTGAGTATAAATAAAACACCTTTTATTTAATCACAATATTTATTACACATTATTCATTGTATATTTTTTCGATTTATCAACTAATACTTAAATTAAAACAATAGTGATCCTATGATATAAGCATGCACACTATGCTTACATACAGTCCTTACTTTGTGAAATAGATCAATTGTAAACATTTCCAACGATACTCATTTCACAATTCCAAATCCTTATGATAAGTGTAAGAGTACCAAGTTCTTGCCACTTATTGTACTTTGCTAGATTCTAAACTTATATGCAGTGATCCTTTTGTAATAACTATGTACACAAGTCACAAAGACTTTGTCAATTACAAAACTTTCCATTGGAGATTGTTACAAGGCAATTCCATAGATCTGATGTCTCATATTCAAAGCACATTCCTTTGAACATCCCTCTTCCATAAAAGTTTCTAACTTTCTCATAGATTCTTGATATCCAACTCCCATTACTGAAACATTTCCATATTTGCCATATAACAACTCATTGTTGTTAGAATCTTGTCTATTCATAATAATGTCAATATGGTCCATCCATTACTATACTTCCAACTATCCATAAGCAACCAATCTTTGGCGAACCTTGGATTGTTCTTAGCAGTTGTTTAATAACTTTAGTCATATCCAATTCTAGTCCTTTTTCCCTTTTAATTCCCTAGGCATTTGGAAAATTAGAACACATGAATATTATAGCATATGCAGTCGATCCTATACCCAAACCATATGGGATACGATTCATAATGTCTTACATAAAGACATGATACTTGACTAGTCTTTTTCTATAATATTTCCATATATAGAATTTCCAATGTTGAAGCATTTCAAAATGATATTCATATAAATCCTTGACTAAATTTGATTAAAATCTCAATCTAAACTTTTAGAATGGAAATGAAGTATAAGTTCTTCTCCCTTAATTATAGCAAAACAACTTTTCAACCTGCAACTTTGCGAATTGAAAACTTTGTTTTCTATAATTAGCATTGCTAACTTGCAACACTTACCATAATAATTATGCTCCCACTAGCATAAACATTATTTTGTTACTTGCATAACATTTATGCTCCCACTAGCTATGACATAAATCCAGAAATCAATTGGACTTCTAGCACTTAATACTTTATTGAATTTCTTACCAAAGTTTAGATTCCTGACACAAGATGCTTCGATAAGCCTTTATCTAAGCTCACACACCTTCTATTAACAATTTTAGAACTTATAGAAATAAGACTCAAATGTTTAGAGCTTTTTCCATTTCTCACAATTTGAACTATGAAGAGGGATGTCGTAGTCATAATCGAATTTGAGAATGCAAATATCACAATTGCTAACTCTTTAAAATCTACTTAGTGAAAGCATTTCCTCACAATCATTTTCATGAATTGGAGAGAAACCATATGACACTTAGATTTTTTTATGGTGTATGTGTTCCTATCAATGTGAATTTGTCATAACCATAATCTTAAGACAAGGTTATCGACAAATCCAAACTCATATGGACGGAACCTATCTAATCTTAATTCCTTGCCACTCGGTAGCACAAGGGGCCTACCATGTCTTCCAAGTTATTGAGCAGCTCACCCTTACTGATTAATGAACTTTCATTGATCAAGGTGCTTAGACTTATGCAAACAGTTGAGAACTCATAGAACTCATGTGCATAGTCAACCTTAACTGGAATGATCACAAAAACAAGAATATGTCAACACGATAGGGTACAAACCTCAAGTCGTGTGCTAGTGATTAACAATAGGTTGACTCTTGATTAGTTCTTAAAACTTTTCAAGATCTTTAATACTCCCACTGACATGTTGACATATAAGTTTCTCTCTATCAAGAAACATTACTGGACAAACAAATATTCAAGAGTTCGTGAGATTTCTTATCAATACAAACACTTTTGACAATCGGTGTTAGTTGATCTTTGTTTTATCCAAAAGATTACAACTTACCAATTTCAAATGTATAAGAGTAGAAAACATTTTACTCTACATTTGCTGATATGTCACTCAATATACAATCTTGGATTGTGACTCTAAGATTTGGTTTTGGAACGAAGTATGATTCATCTTTTAATTAATTTAACAATTTCAACAATTCATGATTCTTGTTCATAGCCAAACAAATGCACTAAAGCGTCCTTAGAGGATCAAATTCTGATATGGTTTTCTTAATCATTAAACACGATACTCAAGTACTCTTCCATCTTTTCAGATTGGAGAAACTTTTATCTTTCTGTCAACTTTGATTCTTCTTATTCGTTCTGCTGTACAGTAAGACTTTTCAATGACTCAGAATTATACTTAATCTTGTAAGCATAACCATATTTTCTAACTTCCGTAAACCATAACGAATAGTCTTGTCCTTCTTTGTGGTGGACCTAACCAGCTCACAACCAAGTGTACCCGATCCCTTAGTCCTTCACTTACCTCACCTCTGTATGTGAACAAGGAATTAGTCCTAATTTCCCAAAGATGAAGGTTCTCATTCATCATACAATACA